CACACCAACAACGGTGCTACAGCAGCAGCAGCAGCTGACGGTGGTACAGCAGCAACAGATGATGCTACAGAAGCAACAGACGATGCTACAGCAGCAGCAGACGATGCTACAGCAGCAACAGACGATGCTACAGCAACAGCAGACGATGCTACAGCAGCAGCAGACGATGCTACAGCAGCAGCAGACGATGCTACAGCAGCAGCAGACGATGCTACAGCAGCAGCAGCAGCTGACGGTGGTACAACAGCAGCAGCAGCTGACAGTGCAGCAGCAGCTGACAGTGCAGCAGCAGCTGACAGTGCAGCAGCAGCTGACAGTGCAGCAGCAGCTGACGGTGGTACAGCAGCAGCTGTACCACCAATAGTAGCGATGGTTGATTGGGGTTTATTATACAACCTGGCCAGCTCGGAGACACGCACTCCACTTTCATACTTATCAATGATCTTTTTCTTCATCTCTATAGTAATTCTCACCCTTATTGCTGTAGGGTTGGTACTAGAAGCTTTCTTGGGGCCCATGGTCACTTATTTTCCAGAAAAAATCACCAAAAACACTGTAGTAATACGAAATGTTCCGATTGTATGCTTGGATGTTACAGCGGAGGCTGGCTGGTAAACAATGCCACCGGCGGAACATGTGAGAATGGCTCAGGCCGCACATTGGACACGTCTCGGACGATGGGCGGTGAGCGGGTTTTTGGGCGGTATGCGAGGCAAAATTTTTGCGAAAAAAACGAGCGGTATGCGGATTGTACGGTATGCAATGCGTGCGGTATGCGGGGGTCCACTGTATACGTTTGGACCGTTTAAGGGTTAAAACAGTGACTTTGCAGTGTTTTTCCTATGGTTTTTATAGTTGTAGTTGCAATTTCTTGGTCTCATTTGACAGAATGGAAGATATATTACAGAAATAGAGATGATTCTGATAGGTTTTAGTGCTGGAAATGCCTTGAAACTGAACTCAAATTGGCGGAAATGTTAAATTTTTTGCCGATGCTCAAGAGTAAACAAATGACCTCACACGTCTAATACACGCCTTCTGGTGGGTCTAATATACGTTCACAAATGTGGTGATATTATTTATACAATTATTACAATATTGCATAACAGTAAATCTTCTGTTTTTTGGTTTGAATAAAAATTCATTATGTGAATAAAAAATCAAAATGGAATTCATTTGTAAAGCCTGAAAATGTAACTAATGAACAGAGGAAATGTTAGTTTAGTGCCAGGAATGCCTGCATTGTTTATTCTGGACCCTATTTTGAAATTGGAATATTTTGAACTTTGCATTAAATTGGCCAAATTACCAATTTCTGATCACTTTATTTTGTAGTTGAAACAGTTGACTTGGTGATTTCTTATGCTCACCTGATAGAATATAAGTAATACTTAGTGAAATAGCTACGAATTTGGTCGACTGGTATAATGTAATTGGCATAAAATGGGAGTGAAAGTCGGCAAAATCACAGATGCGTAAATATCGCTGACACATCAAAATTCGCAAGATCATAATTTCATCAATTTTCCATCAAATTTCGTACTTTTTGTTTTATTATCTTCAGAAAAAGATTCTCTACCATTTCTTAAGGAAAAATAACAAAATTATTTTTTGAAAATTCTTGGACACTGGTGCACACTTTGAAATTTGGCCTCTGGACCCTGAAAGGGTTAATGATACACAATAATAATCACTCTGAGGTGCATTGAATGTCATATATTATGTTAATATAAACATTTTCAATAATCCATCTATGATATTTTTTGAAAATTATGCAATAAACACACTATGTAACACATAAACATGATAAGTACACCCCACAGTGTAGAACAAATTAACATAAATATGAGATGTTATGTGTATGGACCAAAACCAGACGCATTTGCTTGTTTACATTCTCCGCATCTCTCTCCTCTCTCATTTATTCATTCTCTCTCTCTCGTTTATTTGTTTTACCTCGTTTACTCACCTCTCACCCTATATTAACCCTTTCAGGGTCCAAGGCCAAAATCTGAAGTCACGCACCAGTGTCCAAGAATTTTCAAAAAAAAAAAATTGTTATTTTTTCTTATGAAATCGTAGAGAATCTTTTTGTGAAGGTAATAAAACAAAAAGTACGAAATTTGGTGGAAAATTGACGAAATTATGCTCTCGCGAATTTTGATGTGTCAGCGATATTTACGAATCAGCGATTTTGCCGACTTTGACTCCCATTTTAGGCCAATTACATTATCCCAATCAACCAAATTCTTAGCTATTTTACTAGTATTACTTCTATTCTATCGATTGAGCACAAGAAATCGCCAAGTCAACTGTTTCAACTACAAAATAAAGTGATCGGAAATTGTTAATTTGGCCAATTTAACACAAAGTTCAAAATATTCCAATTTCAAAATAGGCTCCAGAATAAACAATGTAGGTATTCCTGGAACTAAACTAACATTTCCTCTGTTCATTAGTTACATTTTGAGGCTTTACAAATAAATTCCATTTTGATTTTTTATTCACATAATGAATTTTTATTCACACCAAAAAATAGAAGATTTACTGTTATGCAATACTGTAATAATTGTATAAATATCATCACCATATTTGTGAATGTATATTAGACCCACCAGCTGGTGTGTATTAGATGTGTGAGGTCGTTTGTTTACTCTTGAATATCAGCAAAAATTTAACATTTCCGCTATTTTGAGCTCAGTTTCAAGCCATTTCCAGTGCTAAAACCAATCAAAATCATCTCTATTTCTGTAATATGTCTTCCATTCTATCAAATGAGACCAAGAAATCGCAAATACAACTATAAAAAACATAAAAAACACTGCAAAATCGCTGTTTTAATCGAAAAATCATGATTTCAGTTTTTTCTCTCATTATACACAGTGTGCTGCAGGATCTGTTTTATGTGGTGCACACATACCACATAGATGTATTCTCTCATATCTAGGCCCTAATGTACCACTCACAGTTTATCAGAGTGAGCTGAGCTCATGGCGTAGATCTACGGTTTGGACACTCTCCGTAAAGCCGTAGATCTACGGGACGGACCCTGAAAGGGTTAAGACTACAAATATTTTAAGGTAAGTTGTGAGTGTACTGTATATCACATATAGGTAGGGTGGCCAGGCTGGCTACCATACCTCCCACACCTGACTTCCTACAAATAAATACTACTCACCTCTCACCCTACATTAAAACTACAAATATTTTAAGGTAGGTAATGAGTGTACTGTATATGCATTTTATAGCTCTGGGGCACTTTAGATGTCATAGTACAGCTTCTCCTTATTTAGCGACATACTCATTTACTGACGTCTCAGACTTACGATGGGCTCTCTGACCAGTGTGCATCCCTAAATAATGTATATTAGAGCTGATTTTCTCTATTCTGTTTATTACAATATACAGTACACTACTGTATAATCATTTAAAAATATACCAGAAATGTTATACAGTGGTACTTTGACTTACAAGTTTAATTTGTTCCATGACCCAGCTCATAACTCAATTTATTCATTTATCAAATCAGTGTTCTTCATTGAAATTAATTGAAATGCCATTAATCCATTCCAGCAGAATTACAGGAGAAAATACTTCAGTATAACAGTAATGTCAACTCTAAGGCTTATTTATCTATCACAATTGATCTAATATGACATAGTAAACAATATAAATAACATAGAAACATCATATATTCTCTAGAATGAATAAAATTGTATGTCATTACGTGATGAGTGGTGGCGTCCACTCTAGAGGTAAAAAATAATTATTGCTCTGGTGATATCTTCCCATTCTTGTCCTTCTGAAGTCTTATTATAAGAGAAAATGGAGTGTTTGTGAGACTAACTGCACTAGATCACTAGTTTCAAAAGGAAAACACTCAAACAAAATCGATTTTCTCAGGATTTTTTTTTTCCCGAGTCATGAGACCGGCCTACATTTTGGGTGAATATCTTGGAATTAAATCAGCATAAATGTCTCATGCCTTCTTGCAGAGAAGGCATGAGGCATGAAGTACATACTATGCTTGTATTGCCTCACCAAGTCAACTCGACGCACACCTCACTCGTGTTTTTCTATGATTTCGTGTTTTAATTCAGTGGACGTCATCTCCTCAGCACTGTCCTTTGCACTTACTTTCTTAGGACCCATGGTTAGAAAAAAGAAATTTGTCAAAATAACTGCACAAAACACAAGCACAATACAAGAGAGATGCTTCCATGGTGAGGTAACCATGTGCACTGTTGTGGCATTCACTGTGCCAATCATTGGTGGCATATCGTGGCAATCGTGTCATTACGATTTCTTAAGTCATATCTGAAGCTCACTCGTAACTCAGATTTTGGCTCACAATTCAAAGTAAAACAATTGACTGAATGATGGCTTGTAACTCGGAAAGCCTGTAAGTTGGGGCACAGATACAAAGGTGCAAAGGTGACAAACAATATCAAAGATGGTTGACACAAACCCACTACCATTATAGTATGCTCCTCACTTAGCGACGAATTTGTTTACTGATGTAGTCTTGGAAACAACTTCGTCGTTATTGAGGAGAGACCATATGTTATGTTTGGGTGGGGTGTCCTGGCTGTCTACTATACCTCCCACACCTGACTTCCTACAATAAATGCTACTTGCCTGTCACCCTACTTTAGACTACAGATATTTTAAGGTAAGCAATGAGTATACTGTGTGTGCATTTTTCTTTTTATTGTTTTTTAATGCCTAGTTCTATTGCTAACTTAATATATATTAGTGTAAACTTGTTATCTGGCATTTATATGCATTTATTAGTGGAAAAAATGATGTTCTGCTTTCCAGCGGTAGCCTGGAACCTAACCTGCCATATAAGTGGGGCCCTACTATACACACATTCAGTCTTCCAATCACATAAAAATACATATGTAGTTACAAAGATGCACAAACATGAATTAAAAAAATGTATAATGTAGCTAACAAGAAGAGATCCCATTCTAAGTGTTACCCCCCCATCCCCCCAGAATGGTGCCACTCCCAGGACGACAGGTACCAATGGAGCTGATAAGGTAAAACACAATGTAGTTACCTAATGCAGTATAATATAATGTAGGAATATACTGTACGTAAAAGATTTAGTTTTAAAACTAAAAAAAACGAAATTATATACCAACAGGAAATGTTGCATGAATATCAACTCTGTGCTAGTGTTTCTCTTATGCTGCTTCTGCTACCCACATAAATGATATAAACAAATGTAAACCATTCAGGATATATAATAAACACTAAAAATACCATCCTTGTGGTCCATTAACTTGTCTTCCAATTCTGGTACATATAATATTGTTTATTTCTTTGTTTAGGTTCCATTAGCCACTATTGGAATAGCAACTTGCTGATAGACCTCTGATTACACCAGTAATTAACTCTCATCACTTTTTAGTTCTGCATGCATTTTGTATCCTCCCTTACTCCTGTATACCTTCATTTTCTGTTTTGCCAACTGTACTCTTGCTGTCTGTTTACCTGGAGAGAGTTCTGGGGGTCAACGCCCCCGCAGCCTGGTCTGTGACCAAGCCTCATGGTGGATCAGAGCTTGATCAACCAGGCTGTTACTGCTGGCTGCACGCAATCCAACGTACGAGCCACAGCCCGGCTGGTCAGGTACCGACTTTAAGTGCTGCCACTTGCGTGAATTCTAAGTACTAGTTGGCTGTCTTTGACGGTCAAGGAAAGATCTTTTATTATTTACCCAGTTATGTACCTAATTGCTCCTCCAAACTGGAGAATGGTGATAGAAATACCTTTTACATGGCAACTTGGAAGATGTTTCTTAGTATGCTTAGATAAAAAAAAATAGAAGGATCAGGTGATGGGGAGGTACAGGTCTTCTCTCACTTTATATAATAGATGTGTTCCTGGCCAATGACATGTAAAGACAGTTCTCATAAAGTGAGCCCATTATAACTTGTAAATCATAGGGAGTTGTTCTGTAATTTTTTTAAAATACTCATTTTTTTATTAATATTTACTGAAAAAGAGAGCTTAATGCACATGCACCAAAGGGTCATACACAAAATAAAAAGAAAAAATGAAATTTGTCAAAAACTGAGGAAAATCAAATCAAATAATTCAACCATGCACATCCTCCCTATTACCTTCTCTCCTCTACCACTACCCAACTGGTTTGTCTTTGGACTGAAGTACACATGTTATTTTTTATTATTAACACATTGGCAGTTTCCCACCAAGGCAGGATGACCCAAAAAAATAAGAAAAACTTTCATTATCATTCACTCCATCACTGTCTTACCAGAGGTATGCCTACTCTATAGGAAAAAAAAAACTGCAACATATCAACACCCCTCCTTCAGAGTGCAGACACTGTACTTCCCACCTTCAGGACTCCAGTCTGGTTAACTGTTTCCCTATATCCCTTCATAAATGTTACCTTGCTCACACTCCACAGCACATCAAGTCATTAAAACTATTCGTCTCCACTCCTATCTAACACACTCATGCACAATTGCAGGAAGTCCAAGCCCCTCACACACAAAACTTTTTCCTAGGATAACTTGACTCACGATATCTTAATGACACGATTGCAAACAAACCATACCACGGGCGGGATTTGAACCCGCGGTCAGAGAGTCTCAAAACTCCAGACCGTCATGTTAGCCACTGGACCAGCTAGCCACAATAAGATTGTGGCGAGCTTATTGTGGCTAGCTAGTCCAGTGGCTAACGCGACGGTCTGGAGTTTTGAGACTCTCTGACCGCGGGTTCAAATCCCGCCCGTGGTATGGTTTTTTTTCCTAGGATAACCCTACCCCACCTTCCACTACAGATTTATATGCCCTCCAAGTCATTCTATTTTGTTCCATCCTCTTTAAATGTCCAAACCACCTCGGCAGCCCTTCTTCTGCCCTCTGGATAATGCTTTTAGAAACCCCGCACCTCCTTCTAATCTCCAAGCTACGGATTCTCTACATTATATTCAAACTCCACATTGCCCTCAGTCACAACATCTCCACTACCTCCAACCTTCCACTTGTTGCAACATTTACCACCCAAGCTTCACACCCATATAAGTGTGTTGGTACAACTATACCTTATATAAATATATTGAACAATCATGGTGACATCATGCATCCTTGTCTAAGGCCTGGTTTTACTGGGAAATAATTTCCCTCTCTTGTTCATCTGCAATCCTGCTCTCTGTCATACTGTTAATTCTTTCAGTAATAACTCTACCATAGAATTTACCAGATATTCCCCTATAATTTTTACACTCTTTTGTCTCCTTTGCCTTTATACAAAGGCACAATGCATACTCTCTGCCAGTTCCTAAGTACCTTCCCTTTTTCCATTTTTTTTTTTTTTTTTTTTCAACAAGTCGGCCGTCTCCCACTGAGGCAGGGTGACCCAAAAAAGAAAGAAAATCCCCAAAAAGAAAATACTTTCATCATCATTCAACACTTTCACCACACTTGCACATTATCACTGTTTTTGCAGAGGTGCTCAGAATACAACAGTTTAGAAGCATACACATATAAAGATACACAACATATCCCTCCAAACTGCCAATATCCCAAACCCCTCCTTTAAAGTGCAGGCATTGTACTTCCCATTTCCAGGACTCAAGTCCGACTATATGAAAATAACCGGTTTCCCTGAATCCCTTCACTAAATATTACCCTGCTCACACTCCAACAGATCGTCAGGTCCCAAGTACCATTCGTCTCCATTCACTCCTATCTAACACGCTCACGCACGCTTGCTGGAAGTCCAAGCCCCTTGCCCACAAAACCTCCTTTACCATATGTTTATTAAATAAAAGCACCAACCATTCCAAAACTATATTCTCACCTGCTTTTAACATTTGTCTTTATTCCATCAATCCCAGCTGCTTTACCCCCCTTTCATTCTGTGCACTGCCTCACGCACCTTCCCTAACACGCACAACTGGCTCTTCCTCACTCCTACAAGATGTTATGCCTCCTTTCCCAGTGCATGAAATCACAGCTTCCCTATCTTCAACATTTAACAGTTCCTCAAAATATCTCTCCATCTTTCTGATACAGTGGACCCCCGCCTTACGATGGCATCGCGTTACGTTAAATCCGCCATATGATACATTTGAACGCAAAAATTTTGCCTCGCCTCACGCTGCAAAACTCGCCCCTCACACGATCCATCCAGGACGTGTCCCACGTGTGGCCTCAGCACCAGTGTTTACAGGCCAGCCATTGTGGTCGCATCCACGAATACATTCGATACATTTCATCTTATCCCAGTGTTTTTTGTGCTTGTAACTGCAAAATAAGTCATCATGGGCCCCAAGAAAGCTTCTAGTGCCAACCCTGTGGTAAAAAGGGTGAGAATTAGTATGGAAATTAAGAAAGATTTTGAAGGGCTTGGGGCTAACCCTGAAAAGCCTATGCCAGTTGTGGAATCCATTGTACCTACTTCAAAGATTAAGGAAATGTGTGGAAAGTGGGTTGAACTGCAAACCTTTATGGATGAAAAGCACCCTAAAACAGCTATTGCAATCCGTGTTGGTAACTATTACAATGACAATGTTGTGGCCCATTTTAGGCAAATCTTAAAGGAACGGGAGGTACAGACCTCTATGGACAGATATGTTGTGCGACAGAGGTCCAGTGACTCTCAAGCTGGTCCTTGTGGCATTAACCCTTTGGGGGTTTCGGACCTACTAGTACGTCTTACGACCCAGGGTTTTTGACGTACTAGTACACCTAAATTCTAGCACCCTCAAATCTAGTGAGAGAAAGCTGGTAGGCCTACATATGAAAGAATGGGTCTATGTGGTCAGTGTGCGCAGTATAAAAAAAATCCTGCAGCACACAGTGCGTAATGAGAAAAAAAAACTTTTACCGTATTTTTGGAATAAAACAGCAACTTTGCCCCTTTATAAACATGCACATCTTGAAGTCTAACCATCAGTCTTTTATGTACCAATACATAGTCTAACAGACTACTGTCATTTTGCCCTATATCATATCTTGTATATTTGTCCTTTTGTTCTTAAAATTTGTATTACCTATTACCAGTCCCCTTTCTATACATAGTTCAAAGGCCTTTTTATCATTTACATCAGGCAACTTACCTACCACACCCTCTATAACCATTTCACCCACTGTTATGATCTTGTGAATACTTTTTCCCAAATGCTCTTCTCTTCCCCTCTTTGCCCTTAACCCTTTCAGGGTCCACAGGCCCTCGAGGCTTGTTCTCAGGGTCTGCCGAATTTCAAAAAAAAAAAAAATTCTTAGGAAAAAATAGAGAAACTTTTCCCAATCAAAATGACACCAAAAATGAAAGAAATCTAAGCATAAATAATGGAGTTCACTTCTCAGCAATTAGCCACCCCTTAGCGGTAATTTCAAATGGTTTTTATGGTTGTATTCTCGTTTTTTTGGTCTCATTTGATAGAATGGAAGATATATTACAGAAATAGATATGATTTTGATTGCTTTCATGATGAAAAGTGCCTTGAAATTGAGCTCAACCTAGGACAAATGGTCCATTGCTTGGCTGTTTCAGAGTAAACATTCCAATATGCAGTCGTGAATGGGTTGACATATTTATACAATTATTGCAATAAGGAATAACAGTAAATCTTACATTTTTTGTGTGAATAAAAATTACAAATAATTTATATAATAATAATAATAATAATAATAATAATAATATGTATAATAATAATATGAAAAATAACAATACGTACGATAATAATGATAATAATAGTATAATACAATAATAATAATAATATATGTATAATAATGATACATACATAATAATGTACTACATATACTAATTATAATAATAGATGGCTTCAAAAGGCCGTCACTAGATGGCAGTGTTTACCACAACAAAGAGGGAGTGGTTGTGGCCGCCTCCACCTGTTACATAATGACATATTTTATTCATTCTAGAGTATATATCATGTTTCTGTGTTATTTATTTTGTCTGTTATGTCATATTAAATGAACTGTGATATATAAATAAGCCGTATAGATGATATTAGTGAAATTATTCATGAAGT